ACAACTACAATGGACAACTGCGACGAAAGGTTAATCAGTCTTTTTGCCAACTCCATCCACAGAACCTATTCCTCTTCTATGTCTAGCAACTCTAGATCAATCTCCATGACCGTGATATCTTGCAGACATGCCATTGTTGTTTTGGAAGATAAACACTCCCACCGGTGCCGCAGAAGATCTCGTGACCATCTGCCTAAGTTCTTGCGAGTTCTCGAATAGGCTCCCCCTTGCGCTTTGGCGGGAAACTGCTGTGCGTCCCTAAAAATCCAGACCGATGGTGCAGAAGCATACCAGAAAAACTGGTTCACGACCAGATCCAAGAGACATTTGATGTGTGGGGTTGCAGTAGTCTAATCTGCCCTTTAGAGGGTCAACATTTCCATTGGTTGGCGACCATTCTTCTTAACTCACAGAGTTCAGAGCATTACGTCAAAAGTTCTCTTTTCTGTTGCTGTTAGAGCTGGTAGAGCTGGTCTTCCATAAATCTCTACATTGTATAAGAATGGGAAAACAAAAGAAAAAAAAAGATACATTAAAATGTAGGTATAAGAAATTACAATCACAAATGGGCTGCTCAGTGAAGCAGTGGGTAGCACTGCTGCCTTGCAGCAAGAAGGTTCTGGGTTCGATTCCCTGCCATGATCTTTCAGCACTGAGTTTGCATATTCTCCCTGAGCATGTGTGGGTTCTCTTCAGGTATTCCGGCTTCCTCCCACAGTCCAAAAAATGACTGTTTAATTGGCATCACTAACTTCTCCATAGGTTTGAGTGTGTGTGTGAATGGTTGTTGGTGCTGCTTGTCTCTGTTGCTCTGCAACCTGTCAGGTGTGTACCTCTCCTGTAGACAACTAGAGATTGGGACCAGCACCCCTCATGACCCCGCTTGGGATAAGCGTGAACGAAAATGGATGGAAACTGGCAAAAAATAAAATAAAAAACTGACATTCACTACATAACTAAAAGGAGCTGTCTGGTATACTCAATATCTCTGAGGAGCAAAACAGTGATGAGATCTCTGCACGGTCAAAAGTTGCTTTGATTTCGCAAAGAAGAAATCAATGATCTATACTAGATTCAGAGACAATATCTTACTGGTTATTTTTTTTTTAAAGAAAACTATACAAAAGATTTTAAGCAAAATAACTCTGACCCCTTATAACAGATTATCCTACCATCTACATACAAAAAATGAATGAACAATGATTTTGTTAATTTGAGGTGGAAGCAAAAAAAAATAAAAAAAATTATAAAATAGACCTCACAAAAATACTTTATTAAACTGGACTGAACTGGTTTTGAAAATGTTCAAAGTCCACTTTTTGATCTGCAAGCAGAAGGAAAAGACTCGCTCAATATTTTGAAGGGAAATCGATAAATAATGGATGACGTGAAGCTTTGGTGGAAGTTGGCAGCTTTGAAATCTGCTCCCAGTTCCTTCTCTATTTCACATTTAACTGGCTCTATGGGGTATGGCAGACATGTCCAACACAAGCACACATATACACACACATTTTTAGCTCATCTCTGACAGAGGCTGTCTGAGGCAGTTAGTGCTTTGGAGGGCTGAACTAAAAGCTATCACGCAGGTGTCATCTTCATCGTAGGGGCTCAAGCCTGCATACATCAGCTTCAATTTTGCTCTCAGTCCTTCAGGCTTGAGAGGACTGACAGAAAAACTAGACAGCGTGACAAAAAAAGGAAACAAAAAGCGTGGGTAAGTGTATGGTTTCTCAGGATGCTTAGAAGAAAGTTTGATTAGATTTCTAAACTTTAAATAAAAATAATCTAAATGGTCTTAAATAAAGCCTTTTATATGTAAGAATTTCTCATTCATAAAGCCAGACCAAGTAATTTTATATTTGGAAGTAACCTGCAACAAATAATTTAAAATGTCATGGTTTAGGTTTTATGGAGGAATACTTGGAAGCAATGGGTGGGAACCAGGTGACATCTTTGATTGAACTTAGGTCAGCAGCAGGATGGATTGAGAGTGAATGGTTGGAGGGTGAGCAAGGTTCGATCAGAGGTGGAACTCAGAGCAGGAGATTATCCAGAGGCTGACAGCTGGAATGACTGCAAGGTTGCTGTTTCCCAAAACGCTAGAATTTGGTCTTGAGAAACAGAGGTGTCTCTGGAGACGGAATCCAGGAACACTGAAGCAACCTGCGAGAGAGTAAACAAAAACACGCTATAAAGTTTACTGGAAGGAAAAACATGAGTAATGAGTAACTAACTAGTACACAGAAACAGAAGGTACTAATGTGGTACTACTAATTAATAAATAAACGACTCTACAGTAAATATTTTTGTGATGTATTACTTCTCTTTTTGTACGGTAAAGCCCTCCAAGGCATCCAGGACCAGGCTACACGTGATGCCCATTAGCCAATAAGCGGTTAGTCTGGGTTGCTGCTGCTGATAGCTACTTTAGACACAGCAGGCAAACCTGTGTCAAGCTGGGGAAAGAAGAAGAAGAAGAAGAGAAAATGTCGAAGAAAGTATGGACTGCTGGAAGAACTGCTGTGAACTGGTGAAAGAAAAGTGAAATGGCGTGCTCAAAGATGACCCTGTTTGGCTCAACCTGCTGCTGTGAAGTGTGAAGTGCTTTAGAATGACTTTGCTGCTAATCAAACCAAGGTTTAAAGCCTTGTAGGGCAGAAAGAAGAAAGAAAAAAATAAATAGTCAGTTCAGGTGTTTTATAAGATAAGTGAATCAGGAAATTGTCTATATACCAAACTGAACAATTGTTGTTCTCTACTTACTTCTACTTAAAAAAAAACCCAAAACATTAGATTTTAAAATGGAAAAATTTTCTTTTTATTTATTTATTTATTTATTTATATGTTTTTATTTAAAAAGTCAATTATAACATGGATGCATAAACACCTAATTTTATGTCAGTGTTAAGTTCTGTTTAATCTGTTTCTTTATTCGGACCCAGCTGATTTTTAATTGGTTACTCCTGATCTAGATGTTGTTTATGTCATTGATCCTGGAAATTTTCCTCAGGAAACTTTCAAATAAAGTTA